AGGTTTTGAAACTTTAGATGTTTTGATGATTTCAATTACTAGGTCGAAGATAGCATGGGGGGCATTTTGAGCTTAATATCCTTTTTTTCAAATTAACCAAGCCAATGACCATGTTGCAAGCTAAAAAAAAGTCATTTGAAATTCCAATGTGGTTTGAGTGATAAAAATATATGATTGCCTAAAAAAAACTGGGGGCAAAAATTGAGAAATTTGAAGCTGAGTCATTTAAATGATTCAATGATCCATGAGTTAAAGATATCATCTTTATGTTTTATGAAAGAAATAATTTGTTGAGATAGCGAGGAAAAGATTCTTCTTCTTTGTCAAGAATTTCAGATCTTTCATCTTCTTTGAAGAATCCCATACCTTTCATCATACCTTTCATCTTAATCATGTCATCCATTCATACCTATCAATTCCATCTCTCTTTGTTCTTATCATTCTATCCTCATAAAAAAAAAGAAAAAAAGAAAAAAGGCTTTTGTTTTATTCATGCTACTTATAAAGAAAGTAGAGACAACACACATGGAGTCAAAGTAACAAGAATCCGAAGGGAGTGAGCTTAATTGTTGTCATGCATGATCATTTTGAGTAGTTGGCATATCATGTATTCAGAAAATCTAGCCATTGTTGGTGATATGATTGAGTCAATTATAGATGCGAGCATGTAATACAAACTTCAAATTGGGGGGCAATCACAAACCCATGGTAAATTCTTTTTCCAAAAGATCTGCATCTTAAGATATCAAGGTAAAACCATTTTTAAAATCCTTCATGACATTTCCAAAAGCATTTCTATAAAAGACAATTTCTCAATTTATTTTCAAAAGCAATTTTTTTTCAATTCATTTTCAAGGAAAATTTGCTCAATTATTACATTTCTTATCAACCCAACATATGGCATAGCATTTCATTTAGCCCAACATGCGGCTTTGCATTTCATTTAGCCCAATATGCGGCTTTGCATATCATTCAACCCAACACGCGGCTCATATCATTTAGCCCAACACGCGACTCATTTCATTCAGTCCAACAGGCAGTTCATATCATTTACCCCAACACGCGGCTTGCATTTCATTAGCCCAACATGCGGCTCATTTCATTCAGCCCAACACACGGTTCATTTCATTCAGCCCAACACGCGGTTCATTCCATTCAGCCCAACACGCGGCTCATTTCATTCAGCTTAACACGCGGCTTGCATTTCATCAGCCCAACATGCAGCTCATTTCATTCAACCCAACACGCGGCTCATTTCATTCAGCCCAACACGCGACTCATATCATTTAGCCCAACACGCGGCTTGCATTTCATCAGCCCAACATGCGGCTTTGCATATCATTCAAACCAACATGCGGCTCATTTCATTTAGCCCAACACGCGGCTCATATCATTTAGCCCAACACGCGGCTTGCATTTCATTAGCCCAACATGCGGCTTTGCATATCATTCAGCCCAACACGCGGCTCATATCATTCAGCCCAACATGCGGCTTGCATTTCATCAGCCCAACATGCGGCTTTACATATCATTTAGCCCAACACGCGACTTGCATTTCATCAACCCAACACGCGGCTTTGCTTATCATTCAGCCCAACATGCGGCTCATTTCATTCAGCCCAACACGCGGCTCATATCATTCAGCCCAACATGCGGCTCATTTCACTTAGCCCAACACGCGGCTTTGCATTTCATTATGCCCAACATGCGGCATAGCATCTCATTCAACCCAACATGCAGCATAACATCTCATTCAGCCCAACATGCAGCTAGCATTTCATACTGCCCAACACACGGCTTTGCATCTCATTTGCCCAACATGCGGCTTTTCATTTCATACTTGCCCAACAAGCGGTTCTTTTTCATTTTCATCTACTTGACATCACATTTCTTTACATTTCATATTATCATTTCTTTCTTTTATTTCCAATTGCCCAAAAATCAAGCTTACAGGTCAGATCTCTCCTTATTTTATCTTTCTCTCCATGGTTTAGTTAAAATCGGATTATTCTTTTATCTTTACTTTTCTTTTTTAACGAAAGAAAAGTAAAGAGGGGGCAACTGTCATAACCGGATTTTTCATTTAGCTTATTTAAACTTTTCATATAAAAAAACAAAAAAAAACAAAAAATATATATTAATAACAAAAATTAATTAAAAAAATCAAAAAATCAAAAAATATGAAAATATGACAATCTCTCTTCTCTTTAACTAATACATCTTCATTTTTCTTTCAAGTGCAAAAAGGGGGAATTCAAGAAGGAAATGGGAAAGGAAACTCAAGAAAGGACTCAATTGAAGGAATCAAAAGTTTAAAGGTGAAATTCATCAAATTTGCAAACCCAACACTAACCCATTTCAATTGAGCCCATTATCCAAACCCAATTACCCGAAACCCAAATACTCAAACCCAAAACCCAAAACCCAAATCCAAAACCAAAACCCAAAAAAAAAAAAAAATTCACACTCAAACTCACCGTTTCATGCCAAAAATAAAATAAAAAATGCCAAGGTCTTCGTTCCCTTTCCCCCAATCCTGCGCTCCTCCCCTCTGCACGAATCAGCACCCCCTGGTCAGCGACCCTAGCTCCTGCACCCCTAGCTCATGCGCCCAGCCTTGTTTCCCGAACCAAAGCCCCTACCCCCTGCGCCCGGCCTTGCTTCCTGCACCAGCCTTGCTCTGCATCAGCTCCCTTGCTCTGCACCAGATCGCCTGCACTCTGCACCAGCCATCATCGGCAATCATGCCCCTGCTGCTGCACGCCTGCACCCCTGCACGCCCATGCCTTGCACTCTGCTACGCCTGCACTTGATCCTGCACTCCTGCTTCTGCCAAAAAGCCGGATCCTTTGCTTGCTGCGCGCCCCCTGCCTTCTGCGGCCCCCTGCATGCTGATGCCAATCCTGCACGCCTCTGCAACCCGATCCTATACGTGCTCTGTCACTCCAGAAACCCTGAACAAAAGACAAAAAAAAGGAGGGCTCGGTCCTTTGCTTTTCAATTTGGTTTATTCCTTTTTAAGTTTCCCTATTAAGACTCAAACATAAACATGATGAATAAGTTGAATCAAACTCCCCCAATGTTAAAGTATGCAACCGTGTTTAAATGGAGGATTGTGAGGTGCGCGTATGCCCTTCTTCACTTTTAACCGAACCCCCGAACCCCGATCTTTACGCAAACCCGTTTTAGGTGACTTATCCCACCTTATAATTTAGACGAGTGGCGACTCCCCTTTCTTTTTATATTTTCCACTCTTAATGAACATAAATAATTTTTCATTTGTTTTGAAATCTTAAGTGGTTGTCAATAGATTGGCGACTCCACTGGAGATTGAATCCAGAATCTCTGGTTTTCATGTTCTGGATTCATGAGGGTCGAGCTAATACTTTAACTTTGGGGAAATTTTCAGCTTTTGATTTTCTTTGTTTGTTGAGTCTTTGCCATTTATTGCATGTGCCTATTATGTGGTGCTTGTTGCTTGTTTGCTTATTGTTTTGGTGGTTGCCTTTATTGTTCTTGCCTTTGAGTGATTATCTTGTCATATCATGACATGCATCATACCTTGCTTACATGTTCATGCATCATATCATCTCACATGCACATGCATCATTGATGTTACATGCTTATTCATCATGCATCATGCTTACATGCCTACTTCCTTGTGTGTGAATGTACTCACCTTTTACACTTGGCTATGGAGTACTTAGTGAGTTTCTTCCCTCTTGTGCGATTATTTATATCTTATTGCATGCTAAGAGTTGGTTGCTTTGTGTTACTAACCATTTGCATTTGGCATGGGAGTACTAGATGAGTCCCTTCTTACTGTGTAAGTAAGTGTGTTTGTGGATGTTATATTTGTTGAGTGTTTTACATTTTTTATTTGCTTGTTTGCCTTATTTGCTTGCTGTGAAATATATGTTGCTATTTTTGTTGTTGCTTTTAGTGTCATGCACCTTGCACACACTCACTCTCATTTTGCATTAGGTCCGTGTCTGAGGTGAACCCGACCTCTAGTCTGGAATCCTTATGAATTTGGCTTGGAAGAGCAATTCTTCCCGCTTTGACGAGTAAGATCAATTCTCGTTAGGTTGTTTCCATTGGTTAATACGACACCTGATGATGTAATATCATCCTGTGTATTAGCTTTTGGAAATATCTTCCATTGATTCTAAAAGGATAAATGGTTGAGAAGGCCTAATGCCCTTTAGGAAAGCATGCAGTGAATTTAAAGAGAAACCACCCATAGGACTTGTCAGCCTAGAAAGCCACCAGTGAGGTTAGGATTCCCTGTGTCTAGGTACACAATGGAGCATTTTATATCTTACCTTACTTTCTACACTTGCAAGTATTCATTGAGTTTACCATGTCAAGTATCATGACATCCATCACATTCATTCACGCACTTTGCCTTTCACTTTCTACTCAATACTACATGACACCATGCACTTTGGCATTTTCACTTTCTATTCCATACATCATTAAAAACAAAAAAAATTGCATAATTGTTTTACATGTCATCAACCTTTCATATGTCGTACGTTCATTACATTGCATTTTCCATCCCATGCATCACAAAATATCTTTTCATTTCACGTGACATTCTCCATTTCATTTTCATCTCATATTTCACAAATTTTCAAAAAAAAAAAAGAAAAAAAGGAAAAAAAAAATGAAATTCCATCCATGTTCAAGCATTACTACTTCCATCTCATACTTCAAAAAAAAAAAAATTTGAAAAATTACATGGAAACAAAATTTCATCCATTTTCATTTTTCATCTCATATTCCTTTTTAAGCATTACTATCTCCATCTTAAATTTCTCATATTTCCCATGTTTCATAAAAAAAAAAATTGCATAAAAAATGAAAATCTCATCCATGTTTAGCTCACATTACATTTCCTATCCGATTTTTCATTACAGTCCATATTCAACCTTACATCACATCTTCCATCTCACATCAAATTGACATTCATCTCATGCTCATTTTCTCTTTTGAATAAAGTTGAATTTGGTCCTCATGTTTTCTTGTTTTTCAATTAAGTCCTTCAAGTTATCACTTTCTACAAAAAAAAAAAAAAAAAATTAAACTCTCTTTCAAAGAAAGTCTCACCCTCTTACATTTTCTACACGAAATTCACACTTGCATGTTTCAAACTTTTTGGCCTTACCTAATTAAATCGAAAGCATCTCACATATTGTTAAAAAAGAAAAAAGAAAAAAGAAGAAGAATCATTTCTTTTTTTTCAAACTTCATGACATTTGCTCTTTTCACCAAAAAGGACTAAATTGAACTTCATCAAAATATGTAGACCAAATTTACATTGTACTACAAA